GTTCCGAATCGTGCTCCCGCTGAGCGCTGACCTCATTTCCGCACTTCCGCTCGTTCCGAATCGTGCTTCCGCTGCAGCGCTGGCCTCATTTCCAGTGCCATGGCATGCAATGCAATACTATAGTATGTTCCGCTGCGCGATGTCATCTCTTCAGCTGCCATGCTCTGATATGCAGTGCTTGACTACGCAGTGCCACGCCATGCTACGTCATGCTACGCGTTGATCTCCAACGCCATCTTCTGCCATGTCATGCTATGCTATGCTACGACATCAGACTGCCAGAATAGAGAGGATATCTACGCCATGGTAAGGGATGAGAGGAAGGGGTAGGAAGTCATATAAGACGCTTGCGCACCTAGCCTGCCCGCCCTCCCCTCCCACCCTCTCTCTCTCTCTCTCTTTCCAGCCCCCCCCCTCCCTCACCCCTCCCCCCCCCCCCCCCTCCAGCCACCCCGCCCGCCCTCTCTCTCTCCAGCCCCACCCTCAGTATGGGCATGTTTCAGCAGCCACAGACAAGAACTCACCAGCAAACGCTATCCACTGCGACACCGATTACGACTATACAGGGGCACCGTCATCCTTATTATGACGTGATGATCAGAAACGTGGACTCTGACAGAGCCTCTCAAGCAGCAGTTACGCACAACACCGCGACGGATGGTCAGAACCATAGTCGGAACACCAAAGAGACGCACGGCAGCGACACCGACACCACACCACAACACAATCCGGAGACACGCCCACCAGCAACACGGCCCCAAACGACTCCAGCGAGTCCGACGTTTGCAGCAACCCGCCTGCCCACCAGCCAAACGCGCAGGACGACGTCAGCGACGACGGAAGCACGCAACTGTGCAATTTTGAGAACGTGGACGTCGAATTGTGGTCCGACTTCATCCGCATGAGTACACGGACTTCAACATGACATACCGAATGCAATCCACGTGTGCCGAAGGATGACATGGCGCTGGGCGAATATGATAGCTCGACGCGCTGGACACTTAGAGTGCTTCATTGGAGCCCAAATCTCAACAAGCGACAACAAGGACGACAGCAACATGGAGGGCAACAAAAACGATGGGACGACACGGGCATCACTGCGACGCCGACACCGGGCAGGAGCAGGTTCGAGCGGCGACCCAACCACGGCAACACCAACACAACAGCACAAACGACCTGCGGTGTTTATCAGCGGCTGGGAGCACCGAGCTGTGGTTATCACGCGAGTCCGCGGCTTCCACGCCATGCCCTAATGGGCACGGGGGCGCCCCAGAGGAGCACGCTCGACTCCGGCGTTCGTCGTCGTCACGCTCCGTCCCCCACACCCCCTCCTCCCCTCCTCCCGCCCACCCTCCCCCCTGCCCTCCACCCCGCTCGCCCTCCCTCCCTCCTTTCTCTCTCTCCCCCCCCCTCTCCCTCCCTCTCTCCCGCCCCCCCCCTCTCTCCCTCTCCCCCCCTCTCTCTGGCGGCCCCTCCTCACTAAGAAAGGTGCGTTTTGGGGGGGATCCGAGTCCGTTTTTCCCTCGTTGTCGCCCACCTCGGTGCCCCTCCTCCGCCTTCCCCTGGCCCTGCTGCTCCTCCCGCTCCCTCCACTCCAGCTCCTGCTGCTGCCGGTCGTCCTCGTCCTACTCCTTCCTCATCCTCCGGCTTCTCCTGCTCATCCTCCTGCTCATCCGCCACCCTCCTCCGTCTGTGTACGCAGCTTCTCTTTCTTGCCGATTGCGCATCCGTCGATAGGAGGCCTCTTTGGAGTTCCGGGCTCACTATGACACGCTTTGGCGGAAAGAGAGTTGCCCTGGCAAAGAACCCAACCGTGCACCTTAGGCGATGCTTAAGAAAACTTAAATGTTCGGCCAGAGTCTTGATTATTCTTAATGTTTCAATGTAAATCCTAAGATTTGAATGGAATTTTTGGGCTTTTATTCAAGTTCTGAGACTCTGAATTTCTTAACCCATGATTTCTTAAGCATTTCACAGGGTGTATGCAGTTGTGAGTAGCGCGGTTGTGAGTACGCACGCCTGTCGGTGGAGCCCGCTCGGGGGGAACGAAGCGCGTGAGGGGTGTGCCTGAAGGGGCGCGGCGATGCCATGCGAACGCAGCCGGGACCTATGGTGGAGCTCCCTAGTTTCAGGAGAGGAAAAAACACACAGACACAATTAATCCTCGATTCCCCAGAAAATATGGGAAAATATGGGAAGTGGGGGGGAAGACAGAAACCCAGAAAATATGGGAAAATATGGGGAACATTTTTATTTGTGTGTATTTATTTGTGTGTCCTGGGGCCCCTTCATAATTGTTGGGACCACGAAGCGCGTGATGGGTGTGCGGACACGGGCGCTGCTGTGCCATGCGAACGCAGCCATTGGGGGCTTCGGTGGAGCCCCCTTATGGGGCCACGAAACGCGGGAGGAGTGCGTCGAAACGGATGCCGCGGTGCCATGCGAACGCAGCCACTGGAGCCTTCGGTGGAGCTCCCTATTGGGTCACGACGCGTGTGAGGGGCGTGTCGAGCGGGGTGCGGCGGTGCCATACGAACGCAGACAGTGGGGCCTTCGGTGGGGCTCCCTGTGGGGCCACGAAGCGTGTGAGGGGTGCGCCGAAATGGGCGCGGCGGTGCCACTGCGATCGCAGTCGGTGGGGGCTTCGGTGGAGCTCCTCATGGGGTCACGAAGCGTGTGAGGGATACGCCGAAGCTTATGGCGAGGATGGTGATGGCAGCGATGATGGTGACGGTAATGTTGTTGTTGTTGATGATGATGATGATGACGGTGATGATGATGGTGGTAGTGATGATGACATTGATTGTGATGATGGTGACGATGATGTTGATGATGATGGTGATATGGTTGATTAGAATGATGAGGAACACGGTGATCACGATTAATATTATTGTCATGCTGATAATGATGATGCTAACTATGGAGCTGATTGATGATTGTGGTGCTGAGTGCGGATGATGATGATGATGATGTTGTTGATGATGGTGCTACTTTTGATGCTGTTTCTGATGCTGAAGATGATGCTGATGATGCTGCTGACGGTGATGATGCTGTTGTTAGTGATGGTGATGATGCTGACGATGATGATACTGATGCTGATGATGCTGATTTTGATCATTATGATGAGGGTGATGATGATGGTAGTGATGAAGCTGATGCTGATGTTGAGGATCATGCTGATCACGAATCCTGTTATTCCGATGATGCTGCTGATGATGCTAATGACGATTATGCCAATCGATCATGATGATGCTGATGCTGATGCTGCTGATGATGGTGCTAATGCCGACGTTGGTGCTGATGCTGGTGCTGATGCTGGAGCTGGTGATGCTGCTGACGGTGATGATGATGTTGTTAGTTATGATGGTGTTGATGATGGTGCTGACGATGATGATACAGTTGGGAATGTTGATTATGATGGTTATGACGATGGTGATGATGATGCTGATGCTGACGATCACGATGATCACGATTCTGATGTACGATGATGCCGGGTGATGATGATGATGGCAATGATGCCGAGTGGTGATGGTGATGTTGATGATGCAACTAATGATGTAGGTGCTAATGCTGATGTTGATGCTGTTGCTGATGCTGATGCTGATTCTGATGATACCGCTGTTGGAAAGAATGTTGTTGTTAACGGTGATGGTGATGATGATAATGATGATGATGATGATGATGATGATGATGATGGTGATGCTGATGATGATACTGATGATGATGATGATGATGATGCTGATGATGATGATAGTGATGGTGATGATGATGCGGATGATAATGAGGATGCTGTTGAGGATGATGATTATTGAGATGATGCTATTGATGAGGAGGAGGAAAGGGAGGATGTTGATGATGATGCTGATGCTGATGATGCTGATGTTGCTGCTGATGATGATGCTGACGATGCTGATGGTGATGGTGATGGTGATGCTGATGTTGATGATGATGATGATGCTGATGACGCCGATCATGCTGATGATAGTAACGGTGGTGTTGGTAGTGATGGGATGGTGATGTTGGTGCTGAGGATGATGGTGATACCGATGACGAGAACGACTGTGATGATGACGATGACGACGATTACGATGATGACGATGTCGATGATGACGATGATGATGATGATGAAGATAGTGATGATGCTGATGTTGATGATGATTATGCTGATGAAGATGATGATGATGCTGCTGATGCTGATGCTGATGTTGATGATGATGATGGGGATGCTAGTGGTAATGCTGATGGAGTTGATGATGATGCTGATGATGCTGATGATGAATGTGATGATAATGATGCTGATGATGCTGATGATGCTGCTGACAGTGATGGTGTTGTTGTTGGTGATGCTGATGATGATAATGCTGATGATGACGATGATGATGATGATGATGATGATGATGGTGGCGGTGATGATGATGAGGATGATGATGATGCTGATGATGATGATGATGATGATAATGATAATGATGATGATGATGGTGGTGGTGATGATGATGATGATGGTGATGATGATGGTGGTGGCGATCATGAGGCGAAGGAGGAGGAGGAGAAGGAGGACGGTGGTGATGGTGATGGCGATGAGTACATGCGGATGGCAGAAGCATGGATGAGAAGAGGGAGGGACGGGAGGAGGAGGTGGGAGGGACGCGGGGCACTGTCTCTTCAAAACGAGGACCCGACACCACAGCATGGCTGGGACAAACGCTGCGCACTGGCAAGGAACGAGTGGGAGAGGCAGGATGTCCGATCCCGCGAGCGCATCCGGCTTGCCCCGCCCCCCTCTCTCTCTCCCCCCCGCCCTCCCTCCTCCCCGCCTCCCTCCGCTCCTCCCCCCCCCGCCCTCTCTCTCCTCCCTCTCTCTCTCCTCCCTCCGCTTCTCCCCCCCCCCCGCCCCCCTCTCTCTCTCTCCACCCGCCCTCCCTCCCTCCCTCCCCGCCTCCTCCCTCCTCCCCCCCCCCCCCGCCCTCTGGACCCGACGGGCGGCCCCTTCTCGGCCACAGGTGGCCATCGTCGACGCGAACAACTGCAAGGATTGCACGGCCTGGGCCGAGTGGCTACAGCTCGCGGAGGCCCCCGTCGACCGGCTCTTCTACGGGGAGGAGAAGGCGCCCCCCCGCATGGGGCACTCCGAGCCGGCGCGGGCTGCTCAAGAGCGAAGAACCCTCGATCCTCCTCCTCCTCCTCCTCCTCCTCCTCCTCCTTACTCCCCTTCTCATCGTCGTCCTCCCTCCTTTCCTCCTCCTCCTCATCCGTCCTTTCCTCCTTTCCTCATTTCCTCGTCCTCCTCCTCCTCCTCCCTGAGCTCCGGGCGTCGCACCTGTGCTCACTACGGGCGATCTTGCCATGCTTCCGGCCCCAGGGCCCTCACGGACCGATCCGACTCGAGAAACGCAGCAGGAAGATGGAGTCCAGGGCCCCAGTCGTGGTTTGCCACTGCCAAGATCATCCGTTACCAGAGATGTTCGGCAACACTTTGGGCGAACAGGTCGCGGCCGATACTCGGCCTGCGGTCGCGAAGTCTGGTGACGAGCGAACCGTCGATGGCCTCAACGTTTTTCGCCTGGACCCCTGACGAACTGCCTCTCAGTCAGGACGAGGAGCAGGAGCAGGAGGAGGAGGAGGAGGAGGAGGAGGAGAAGGAGGAGTAGGAGGAGGAGGAGGAGGAGGAGGAGGAGGAGGAGGAGGAGGGAGGAGGGAGGACGGAAGAGTAGGAGGAGGAGGCGGAGGAGGAGGAGGAGGAGGAGGAGGAGAGTGAGGAGGAGAAGGAGGAGGAGGAGGAGGAGGAGAAGGAGCCGAACCCCAGCGATCTGGGCAGAGCGGGCGCGGGGCTTCTCAAGGGGTGAGCAGCCCAGGCGCGCTCGCGTGATAGGGCATCGGCGAGCTCGGCGGCAACTCTGGAAGAAGGACGCTGAACTCGCCGACGCACAGTCAAGACGCTGAAAGAAGCACCGCTTGGGGCTCAGGAGGGGCCTGGGTTTCCAGGCCGTTCCTCAGATGTATATCGTGGAGCTTGTTTGTGGCCTAGGTCCGCCGTCGTTCCTTCTCGTGCGTTTTTTTTTGGGTTTAGTTATGGTAGCAAGATGACCGTTTGTCCTCACAGCTCCGTCTGTAGAAGGCATTCGCGTGCGCTAGCGTCTGATCGCCGATGAGAGAGCGCCGATCTAGCGTCGATCAGGGTCGATTTAGCCACGATCGGCGTCGATTCGGGTCGATCAGCGTCGATTAGCCTCGATTCGCCCAGGACCGTCCAAACACGTCTCGGGATGAAGGAACAAGCTGCCCTGGGGAAGGGGTGGGGACTCCGGGGGTCCTTGTCTCAACACAACTCAAGGCATATCATGTCTGGGACCCCCCGGGGGTGCGAAGAGCATCGCGCGTCGCGCGTCGCGGCCGGGGCCAGACGGCTGCCCTCCTCCAGGGGGGCCGCCGCGCGGGCGCGCCGAGAAAGCGCGTGTGATGACGCGACCGCCCAGTAGCCACGACCCTGTACCAAGCTGGGCCCCCTGCACCAGCAGCAGCAGTTGAAAGATTAGGTGCGGTGAGCTCTCGCAGCCCGGGCGCAGAAGCACGGTGGGTCCGCGAAGCGCTGTGCTTTCTGGTGTTGGTGGCCTCATGGAGGCTATCATCCCCTCGGGCGTTTGGGCCGTGGACGGGAGAGCTCGAACTAGTCCGTGCATTCGTCACGCTGCACCTTCGAGACCTCGCCTGTCCTCAAAATTGGTGCCTCCTCTTGTGCCCGACGCGGTCTCCATGCGGACCTGACGCGGATTGGCGTGGATTCGACGCGGATCCGATACGCATTCGACACGGATCCGACGAGGCCGGCACGGATTCGACACGGGTTCGACGGGGATAGGGCCGCGACGGGACAGACAAGGTTCCCCGAGGATGCAGCATAACATTCGACTAGCGCGCTCTCAAGCAGCGAGTCGACGAGGACTCCGTTGAGGAGTGGGGGCCCGACGCCGAGCGGTTCTTATAGAGGCCCAGTCCCTGCGTTGTGAGCGCACACACCTACAGCGGAAACCCATGCCAAGAAACAATCCGCTTGCCTCCAGGGTGCCCTGGGTTTCTCGGATTTCGATGTTCTTGCTATGGAAAGCGTGTCGTTCCCACACCAAAAATCAATGGATGTCCTGGGGTATCAGGGTTGGGTTTCTTGTGGAAGGTGTCTTGCATTCTGCCCCGCCTTACAGAGTGCACGTTTTGGCGAATCCCCTTCGACGAGGCGCTGACATTGGAGGCGTGGCGAGCAGGCGTCAGCCAGCTCGGCTTCCGCGGGAGCGCCACGAAGATCTTCTCGGAGATCCGGCGACTAGCCGCCGGGCCTGTTAGCGCGGAGGAGCCCCGTCACCAGGTCCGGAGGCGACAATTGGGGCGAAAAGTCCAGGGGCGGGCAGTACACGTATTCGCCCGGGAGCCTCGCCAAAGGCTTCGACCATCGGCGCCCTTGGATACACGTAGTGCTCTGGCCTGGGCTAGTCGCCCCCATCGTCGCCCCAGCACCAGGTCTTCAAGTCGCAAGATCCGACCGTCTCTCTGCAGGATTACAAGGCCTTCGAGTCGCAGCTGCACCGGATGATCTCGTTGGCGACGGAGGAGGCTAGCGGCGCGCACAAGGGGGTAGTGCGAGGGGGGCAGCTCTTTGGGTTGGCGGGGGAGCCTTTGAGAAGGCACGGGCCTGCTCAGAATCCCCCACAGCGTCTACCAAGACTTCTTAGGAGCCTCCAGACCTCTGTTAGCAGGCCCCTGCCTTCTGAGCAGCGCGCCACCTCCTTGGCAAGTCGGCCCCCCTCGCGCCCCCCCCTCTTGTGCACGCCGCCCGAGAGGGTGCACCCGCCAGCCTTCCGGTCGGCATGCTCTTCAGCATACTGCGGCCAGGCAGACGAGGCCCTCCGCTGGGCCCTTACGAACAGCAGCGTAACCCATGCGGGCATTTGCGTCCTCCCCGGCTGGCGGGCAGGAGTGATTCACCATCGTCAGGACCATCCCCACCCCGATCGGGACAGTGAGGTAGCTCGTCCGGTGCACCCTCTCTGGGTGGGGATGGGTGCTGCGAGGCCCGAGGGGGATGGCACGGCGCTCGCGCACTTTTGGATAGCGTGTCGCGCCGCCGGTTCTGCATTCCCCGCTTCGGCGCCACACGCTATGCACTTTCCGGTCCCCGAGCGTCACGTCCCGAGCTTTGCTGAGCCTTCCGCGGAGCGGAGCGGAGCGACACGTTCTCCGATCGCGTGCCACAGCGTGTCGCTGGGGCCGCCGGCGCGACGCGCTATCCAAAAGCTCCTGACCGTAGTCCCCACCTTGTGGGGGCTTCGGGGCTGGCGGGGCCAAGGTTTTTCTGGTCGCGGGGCAGTGTGACTTGACCAGAGCGGTGGCAGGTGGTCTTGTGGATGCACTGGGGGCCTCGACGTCTCGCAGCACAGCGCGCGGAGTGTATTATTGTGGCGTGTCCGAGATGCCGTGTTGGATTGCAAAAAAAAAGGATTGCAAAAAAACCCATGATTGCAAAACAAACAGGGTTTTTTGCAATCCTTTTTTGCAATACTGTTTTTTTTGCAATCCTTCGTATGAAGGTTCACATTTTTAGATTTTGCCCTCAGGTCCTCTGCTCAGAGCGTGGCGCAAATACTTCGACCCGAGGGGCGTTGGCCGAGTCCGCCTGGAGGAGTTCACGCTGGGCTGCAAGACGGCGGGGTTCCCGCAGTTGGCGGCGCTCGCCTGGCGGGATCTGACAGCTGCCTGTCCACACGGAAGGAGACACGCCTGTCTTCCGATTCATTGGCTTTACTCAGTTTTCGTTGAGGTCTCACGACATGTCTCCCTGGTTCGTTGCATGCTATACAAAACAACGCGCCATGGTTCGGTTTGTGAGACGCCAGGGTTTGAGACTCTTTCCGTGACGCTGACCAGTTGTATCCCCCCACTGCGCACAAGCATCATGCGTGGGCCTCTCCCGGTTTTTACGATTTGGGTTTCTTCCAGTTCTTCAACCCTATCATCACTATGACCACGGAAATTCTGTACGACACTTCACACTGCACCAAATGTGCTTGTATGCGCCGTTGGAAGTAGCATGGCCGCTGTTCCGGGTACTTGCCGTATTGCTACGGGGCTAGGGGTGTCTCATAAGTTGTCGATTCTCCCTGCTTTGCTATCTCCGTTGACTCCTCGGCCATACCCTGGTCTTGCAGCGTTGGGACTGGTAGCGGACTCTTGCACGCTATGCTTCAAAGGGACGCGAGCGGAGGGAAGACATTTGGCTTGATGTGTGTTAAAAATGTTGTGTTGCCTTCGCTGGGTTATTGAATGGTTACTGGAACTTCTGCTCATATTCGTGCCCCTCCCACCCCACCACGGAGGCCCCGCCTGAGCGAGGAGGGTATCCCCAAACCATACTATTTACAAGATTTCGTGCCCCTCCCAGCCCTCCAGAGAGGCCCCGCTTGAGCGAGAAGGGTATCCCAAAACCAGTATTTACAAGGTTTCGTGCCCCTCCCTCTAGGGAGGCCCCGCCTGAGCGAGGTGGGCACCCCAAAATCATATCATTTACAAGGTTTCGCGCCCCTCCGACCCCTCTAGGCAGGCCCCGCCTGAGCGAGGAGGGCATCCCAAAACAATCGTGTTTACAAGGTTTCGTGCCCCTCCCACTCCTCCAGGGAGGCCCCGGCGCCGAGCGACGTCGACACCATGCTCCTCGTCAACCACTGCCAGCATCACCACTTCTTTCTTCCACGCCTTCTTCTCCTGCCTCCCCGCCTTATCGGCATTCCTGCTCTTGCTCGCCCGAACTGCCCATTCTGCACTGCTGAGGTTAATGCTGCCGAGCGCGGCCTCCTTTGACCACGTCCTACACATCCATCCTCCCCCCATGCTGCTTCCCCTCCTCGCCTCCGCCGGCCCTTCCATGACAATATATGGACATCATAGGCCTTCATTTTTTGGCACTGCTTTTATGCCCTCGTGATCCCGCCAACCCCGTAAAATGCTTATGTGGGGAACTCCGTTAGATTAATTTCTGGTGTGCCTCCTTCTCCTCCCATGTCGCCCTTCTCCTGGCTATATTCTCCTCCAGTCCCCCTCCAATTGCTGTCCTCCCGCGCGCATTCCTCCTTGCCTCACTCCTCGTACTCCTTGTACTCTTCCTCATGCTCTTCCTCGTACCCCTCGTACTCTTCCTCGTACTACTCATACTCCTCGTGCTCTTCCTCCTCGTCCGCCTTTCCCCTCCACAGCGCGGCGCCTGCGCACCGCTGAGGCGCAAGGGGGCCAAGCAAGGTATGGAAGGGGACGCGATCTTCGGTTGGCTCGCGCAGTTGGTTCGCGACGAATCGCTGCGAACCGCGAGCCGGAGCCCGCCAGATTCCGACACGATCGCGATATGGCGCCCGCCAGGGAGGCAGAGGAGAAGGAGGAGGATGAGGATGAGGGCAGAGGAAGAGGAGGAGGGGGGAAGAGGAGGAGGAGGAGGAGGAGGAGGAGGAGGAGGAGGAGTCCGAGGAGGAGGAACCGGGAGGAGAAGCGGTGACAAGGGGGAAGACAGGGGACGACAGGATCGGGGGGGCAAAGGTCAAGGAGCGAGGGATCTCGGGAGCGGGGGGGGTTGGGTGGAGAACGAGAAGGAGAAGCAGGGGGCATGACGAGGAGAGTCATCCGCAGACGAGGGGAGCAGGAGTGGCAAGGAGTGAGGATGAGTGGGGAGCAGGGGGAGGAGGACGAGGAGGAGGAGGAGGAGGAGGAGGAGAAGGAGGAAGAGGAGGAGGAGGAGGACGAGGATGAGGAAAAGGAGGAGGAGGAGGCAGAGGAACAGAAGAGGGAGGAGGCGGAGGAGGAGGAGCAGGAGGAGGAGGAGAAGGATGAGGAGGAGGAGGAGGAGGAGGGGAAGCATGAGTCGGCAGCCGGGCAAGGGCTGCTAAATCCGTGGCTGCTAAAGTCGACCTCCGGGAAGTTGTCTTCGTCCTTCCGGGAAGAAGCCCGTGGACTGTTTCGCGTGCCGCGCCTCATTCCGGGAAGTTGTTTCTTCCTTCCGGGAGGGCCGTTTTAGCAGCCACGGTTTTAGCAGCCCACGCCCAGCTCCCGAATGAGGAAGAGGCGGGGGTGGAGGGGGACGAAGAGGACGATGAGTACGAGAAGAGAGAGGCATAGAAGCAGAAGGAGGTGAAGAAGTATTGCCCAGCAGGACTGACAGAGCGGACAGAGCAGGAGGCGCGGGATGACAATTAGGAGAGGTCGAGGACGAGGAGGATGTTGAGGAGGGTGGCGACCAGGATGGGGACGACTTTGAAGAGAAGAAAGACGAAGAATACAGGGTTGGCAGCGGAAGGAGCAGGAGGAGGAGGAGAAACACGACCACGAGGAGGACGTCGAGGATGAGACATTGAGGGGCGGGGGGCGCGGAAACAAGCAGAATCCGAAGAGGTGGACGCGGGCGGCACGTGGGCAGGATAAACGAGGACGGAGACGAGGATGTGGACATGGGGGAGGATACGATGTGTTGAAGACGACAAAGAGGAATATACCGATGGGCGTAGAGGGAGGGAGGACGCCGAACAGTATATAAGGAGAATGGTGGATGGTAGGAGCAGGCGAAACATGAGGGCCAGGATCAGCAAATGCCGATGGAGGCAACCATGGGGGTCCGCGTATGAGGACGAGGATGAACGCGATTATGAAGATGACGAGCTGTAACAGATGGGGGGAGCTCGCGGTAGAGGAGAAGGAGGATACATTTATTGATGGCCAAGACTAGGTTAAAGTGGAAACGCTTCATGTGAGGGCGAGGAGGGCTAGAAAGAACAGGATCAGCCGAAGCTCCCCAACAGCAGGCGGAGATGGGGCAGAAAAGGGGGAGGAATGGTAAGCATCAGATACTGTTAGCCAGAGTGGGCCCCACGCAACGCGCTAGTGCAATGTGGAGGTGGAGTAGTTGCGGTGTAAGCTGTGCAGTGAAAGCTATGTGGCGTGAGCTGCTGCGGTGAACACCATGCGGTGCAAGCTATGTGGTGCAAGCTCTGCCGTGCAAGCCAGGTGGTGTACACTGGAGGCGTAGGCTATGCGAAGTAAGCTGTGTTGCATAGTGCATGCGATGCACGCTGTGTGGTGCAGGCCATGGTGACAGCGATGTCGCGTGCGCTCAGAGCACGGGGCGCCCGCGAGGCGGCACGGGCGGCACCGTGGCGCCACCGCGGCAGACCCCCCCGAGCGGACGGGGCGCCCAAGAAGCGCCCACGAGGCGGCACGGGCCGCAGCGTGGCGCAACCTCGGCACGCCCTCCAAGCGCGGGGCGTCCACGATGCGCCCACGAGGTGGCACGGCGAACATCCGAATAATACCAGCCACGTTCTTCAACCGAGGGAAGGAAGAACCCCTAGGTGCGGGCACTGCCGGTGTAAGACAGGATGGCTCTAACTTGTCTGCCAGGATCTTGCCGTTCTCCTTGTTCTCGCCGAGGGAGTCCGCGAACCTCACGAGCTTTGGGGCGGCTCTGTGCGAGAAGATCGGGTGCGACCTCAAGCTGGCATGGGAGGCTCTCGACACCAACCACCAGAACAGGCTCGGGGAGTGGGACTTCGAGAGGGGCGTGAAGAAGCTCGGCTTCACAGGGGACGCGAAGCTGCTGCTCGACGGGGCGAAGAAGGACCGCTCCAGCGCCCGCTTGTTCAAGGACGACTTCATGTACCTCAGGTCCTTCCTCTGGTACAAGCAGCAGCCAGCGTCGGCAGGCTTGGATGGCGGCCTGGCCGCCTTCGTCTCCAGTGTGTACCGAGATCAGGCTGGGGGCCCGTTGGAAATGCGAGGCCCCCACACACACGGAAAGGCCTACCACCGTCGAGAGCTGTCCGAAGCGGCCATGTCTTGATGCAGTGCACGGGCGTGCGCCAGCGTCTGGACGCCGACGAGCAAGCGCCGATATTCAGCGTCGACTGCGGTCGGGAAATTCTTGCACAAACGTCTCGCGCCGCTGGCCCTGGCCCGCCGCGCTTCGGCGCAGCGCGCCGCCCACGCCGCGGCCCCCGAGCGCCAACGTCCCGAGCTTGCCCCAGCCTCCCGCCCCGCGGAGCGGGGCGACACGCGGTCCCGGGGCCGCCGCCGCGGCACGCGCAGCAAAGCCTTCCGACCGTGCCCCGCGCCGCGCGGCCCTGCAGGGAAGCGTCGGGCACGCCCTACGACGGCGTCAGACGTGCCAGACACGCCGTCCCGTGCGTGCCGACGGCGTCGGACGTGACAGGGACGCCTTATATAACGGCCAAAGGTGCCTCCTGGGCGCTCAGGAGGCGATTGTCGGCGCCTCTGAGGCCGTCTGGGGCCGTCGGAAGACCGAAAAGAAGCAACAGCCAGAATCTGTCAGAAGCCTGAAGAAAATACATGATTTTGGCCTCTTCGGGCTTTCCTGGAGGACCTCTTGGAGACCACTTGCGCCGTCTTGGAGGTGTCTAGGGGGCCTCCTAGGCCATCTCGAGGCCATCGTCGGCCGTGTTGGGTGCATCTTTGGCCGTCTTGGGTACACCTTGGGGCAATATGAGGGCCATCTTGAGCCATCTTGGCCGTCTTGGGGGCGATTGGGGCAACGGAGAACGAGCTTTCTACGGCTTTCCGGGTGACCGTAGGCATCGGCTCAAGCTCCAGGGGGAGTTCTGAAAGGACTAACACCAGTTGAAATCCAGAATGCTAGGCCCCCTGTGGTAAGCCACAAGGGCCGGCGGACCTGCTGGCCACCGCACCTAGGTTGTAGGTCAGAGGCCTTTTGGGACCGTTTTGGGGCGCCCGTGGTTCTGAAACAATCATGGGGGAGGCGCTGGGGATCTACGGGAGGCACGCGGGTGGAACCCAGGAAGATTTGAGAATTTGGATCCCAGGCCCCTGCATACCCAATCCTGAGGACTGAGGACCGCGGACCACAAGGGACCTGAGGGCACTTCTCGGACGGGGCCAGGACGAGGAAAACTCCGTTCCGGAGCGTTCCGGGACGCTCTCAGAGCGATCTGGAACGCTTTGGAAAGGCCGCGGCGCCCGAGACATCCAGAGCCGCCGGATCTCAGATATTCTCGATGTTTATCTTGGCCCGCTGCTATCTCTGTCTTGGTTTCGTCTGAGAGGACTACAAGCGACCTGAGGGCACTCCACCTCGTGCCTCGGCGGAACGGTGGCGGATGTTTCACGACCGCCGTCAGTAGGGAGGAGGAGGAGGAGGAGGAGGAGGAGGAGGAGGAGGAGGAGGAGGAGGAGAGAGGAGGAGAAGAGGAAAAGGACAAGGAAAAGGAAAAGGAGGAGGAGGAGGAGGGAGGAGGAGGAGGAGAGGAAGAGGAGAGGACAGGAGGAGGAAAAGGAGGAGGAGGAGGTGGAGGAGGAGGAGGAGGAGGAGGGGAGGAGCAGGAGGATCAGGAGCAGGAGCAGGAGCAGGAGCAGGAGCAGAAGCAGCCGGAGCAGCTGGCCCTTGGCAGTGCTTGGCTGAGTGCGGCCATCCGTCTCTGGCCTGCAGCGGTGGCAGGGAAGAAGTGTGCCCACCAGCCGCCCAGCAGCAAAGAGGAGGAGGAGGCGGAGGAGGAGGAGGAGGAGGAAGGGAGGAGGAGGAGGAGGCGGAGGAGGCGGAGGAGGAGGAGGAGGGGGAGGAGGAGGCGGAGGATTACCAGGATTACCACCATCACAAGAGTAATCAAACTTAGAAAACAAAACGAACGTTCACTCTGCAGCGCCTTTGCCCCGAGACAGTTCCTCCGAAGGGCGGAAGAGAGGCAAGACAGAAACGTTCGCCCTGGGGCGCCTGCGGGTTCCTCCGTGCCTCCGTGCACACCCTTCCAGAAAAAAGAGGCAGCCCCAGCGGCGCCTCCGCCGCTCCTGCGCGCGCAAGCCGCACACTCACGCTGACCCAAGCCTCCGGCTGCCACTGCAGGTCGGGACTCTGGATCTCCCTCGACTGCCAGGCGGGTCACCTGGCGCGAGACTTCGCGGAGCCAGGACCACCCCCGCAGCTCCCCTTGCCCAAGGGGGACCAGGTGGCACGCACCCGTGAGCCTCACCCGACCACCTCGCTGTGCTCCAGGACCCGAGTGCGGAGACTGGCGCTGGGGCGGACAGGGCCCGGGTCCAGGTCCGTCGGTTTCGGTCCCAGGCCGTTTCCACTGGAGGGTGGTGGACTAAAAGGAGGCTTGTTCACCGCCGAGGGTGAGTGAGTGAGCCCCTCCCGGATCCAGGGCGGCCCAGACACGTTCATCGAGGAGATAGGCAAGGACCTGCACGAGCTCATCACGGTGGAGGAGCCCTTCGGCCGAGCAGGGGCGGATGAGGAGGGAGGGAGGGAGGGAGGGAGAGGCAGCGAGAGGAAGGGAGGGAGAAGCAGGATGGACGAGGATGGAAGAGTAAGGAAGAGGACCCAGACATTCCCGCGCCGTGGGACAAATCGCCATGGCAGGCTTTTGACATGTTTGGGCTCAAGGTGGCCCTCACCGAGCCCTGGGGCCGTGATGAAACGACTCAGGATGGAAAGCCGGCCTCCGGGAAGGGCTCAGGCCCTTCTAGTTGTTTCCTCCCTTGTTTGAAAGCCAAAACAGCAGGTTCTCAGAGCCTGGCTTGACATCTTCTGGCAATTCTGGTGTGTACGAAGGAGTCCCAGAATACGACCAGACACAGTGTATTTTTTGCATTCACGAGGTACGCGTGATGTTTTCGCACAGTCGGAAACAGAGGCGTCGTTCGTGACAGCGTCGGCCTGCCCCGTGTGGTTGGTTGTGGCAGGTCCTGAAGAGTGAAGAGGATAGCCAACCACACGCCGAAACGCGGGAGACGGACTGGACCAGGTGTGCCCGAAAGAGTGGGCATACTCAGTCCTAGACCAGAAAGGTGACCAAAGGAAGTCGCGCAGTCAACTGCTTCTCGGCGACCCTGGCGCTGCATAGCCGTTGCCAGGCGAGCCTGAGGCGGATGTACAAATAATGCCTTGTATGTTGCACTAGTATGGATACGCTTGGCGAAAGACTCTTCTGGGGAGCTCGGATTTCTGAGGGGGAGCAGGAGGAGGAACAGGTTGGAGGGTCGAGGGACGAAGGGAGGTTGTGGACAACAGAGGAGAGAGGAGATGTACTGAAGATTTGGGTGAGATCTCGCGTTCCTATGGGTGCTTACGGCTCCCTCATCATTGCCCCCGTATGAAGCGGGACCTCGCGCGAGCGTCTTCCGTTTGCAGCATGGGAACGCGCTCCAATCCCAAGAGCAAGATGCGCCACATCCGATTCGTATGTTACGGGAGGGAGGTTTGGGAATGTGCGTTGCCCACTGACTCGCTCGACCCGGCTTTCTTGGCTCCTCCACTTCCTCCTCCTCCTCCTCCTCCTCCTCCTCCTCCTCCTACTCCCGTCACTCCTTGTCCTGGTTTTTTCCCATCCTCCTTCTCCTCCCCTCCCTCCTCATCCCACATGGGGGGGCACGTTATATCAGAAGTCGGTCTGCCAGCAGGGGCCCCAGTGGACGTCGGCGATCCCCCATGTGGCCCTGGGGGGCCCACAGAAGGCCTGGGACAACCTGCGACAGACAAAGGTCGACGACACGTGTGCCCGAGTCTTTCTGACAGCGCGGCGTCTGATCGTATGGGCCTGCTGTACTCCGCTCTCTCCCTCGCACGGTCCGGATGCTGCAGCAACTCATGCTCGTCGCCGCCCGTCTTTGCGCCTTTCCACCCGTCTCCGCCCAACCTTCTCTTGCCGCTGCTGCTCGTTCCGATTGCAGGAGGGAGGAGGAAGACGAGGAGGAGGATGAGGAGGAGGAGGAGGACCAACGTAAACCCAAGGCGCGCCAACGACGTTGGAATGAACCCTCCCTCCAGGTTCCCTCTTGTAGGTGCCAGCAAGAATGACTGCTCACAGCGGTCTGTGCCCCATTGGAAGATAACCTTTGGGGAATCTCGGATCGTACCAAAACGCTGTCCCTGGGGCGTCCACGCCGCGAATCAACGGAAGTGTTGCGTCCTGACGGCCGTGCACCGTGACAGAACAACAGTCCTGGGGCTTCAACACCGCGGGTCAACGCTATTGTTGCGTCCTGGCAATCCTAAATCGTGCCGTTTTTCAATAAAAAAAGATCTGGTGCGAATCTTGTGCAGGAGGAGGAGGAGGAGGAGGAGGAGGAGGAGGAGGAGGAGGAGGAGGAGGAGGGCGATTCCTGTTCCTCTTCAAAGTTTGAAAGGTTGAATTGTGAAAATGAATGTCGAATGTGCGCGGCGCTGAGGCGAGAACCGCATTCCTGAAAAGGAGCCGTCCTCCGTCCGTGGAGCTCCTGCAGACCTACGAAAAAGGCGCGGCTCGGGGGGGAGAGCCACACGTTGAACACCAGCCGTCCTCCATTCGCGGAGCTCCTGCGAACCTTTTGGAGGCGAATGCAGGCGGCGAGAGGCGGGAGCCACATGTCGAACACCACCCGCCCTCCATCCGCGAAGTTCTCTTGGTTTTTAGGACGACCGCGCGGCCCCAACCGTTAGCAGCGATTCGAGAAAAGGAACCGCCCGCCATCCATGAAGCTCTTGTACACGAGTGTGCGCGGCGCAAAGGCGGTTAGCGAGAGACACATATTGAAAACCGCCCGCCCTCCATCCGTGAAGCTCTTGCACACGTTCAAGACGAATGCTCTCGGCGCTAACGTGGCAGCCACATTCTGGGAAAGAGCCGGTCTCCATCCAGCAATGGACGAATGTGCGCGGCGCTACGCGGAAACAGCCGTTTCCATCTGTGAATCTGTTGCAATTGAAAGCTTCAGATGCGTGTCCAGTGCATTGTCAGGCTCAGGGGAAAATGCCCAGCCCGCCTGGCATGTCTCGGGGTACGACGGAGAGCAGTCATCGAATGGAGCAGGAGCAGGAACAGGAGCAGGAGCAACAACAGGAGCAGGATGCTGCTGCTAGGCAGTCGGCGATTCGAGAAACGAACAACTGTGGCGATGAAGCGTCGCCAGGAGGATAAGGAGGTGGAGGAGGCGGAAGGGCATAGATGATCAGGAGGAGGAGGAGAGGCACGTGGATATGGATAATAATGGAAGCCTACGAGGAAAGGAGGAGGAAGAGGAGGAGGAAAGGAGGAGGATGAGGTCGAGTCAGACTGGGCTGGCGATCTCCGCAGAGTCGGCGACGCCACCCCTCCCAGGGACGAAGGAACCAAGACGGGCACAACTTGGGCTTTGGGACTTCGGCCGGCCACACCACGCGCCGAACGCGGGGCGCTCGGGCGCCAGAACCCTCGCGACCGAGGGTTCCGGGTGAGGGAAGCCACGTGACGGGCACGCGCGAGAGCAGAACTCTCAGGAGATCCCTTGCGGCCTGCATCGGCGTCGGCATTATTCAGCCCCCTTCTCGGCAATCTTGTCTTGGGTGCGGGGAGACTGGGGTCGCAGACTGATGGCAATCCTTGTCAATTTGAACAGGGCTTGCTGACGGTGTCCCCGCGGGCGTCGTTCCTTTGATACACAAGAATGCTTACACTCGTCACGGGCACCGTCGACGAGGCGACGCCCATGAACGGAACAGTGTCGATGCTGGTTTGTGTTTGCCAGGTCTGCGCCCTTCCTGCGGAGGGGGTACGAGAATCCCCTGTATTCAAAGTGCTGGCCGCAGAGGTAGCGGAAAACGTGATTCGCCGATCGTTAGGCCGCGGCGCCTTGGTACAACGTCGACTTTCAAACCACTTGGAGAGTTTCGGGTTCATCCATCGGCTTGTTCCATACTGTAAAAGCCACCTGGGGAGCGGACCAGATACTTGCATGCAGCTCGCGACTTTTGGCCATTCGAGGAAGCCGCGATTTCGCTTGGGACTTTTTCAACTGCAGAGTTTTGTCGGTGTCCATGCCACGAGGTTCGATCGACGAGGGTTGATCGGCGAACGAATTTCCAGGGGGGGGGTCTTCGCAAAGTGCCGTTCGCCATTTTCTTATCCAGGGGTTGGTACCAGGGACGCAACGGGGAGACGAGATCATATGCTGGGGCACCAGGGGCTCAAGGGCCATGGCCGGCCCACGCTCCTGGATCCCCCCTCCCGTTTTGGCCCACGGCATTTTTGACCCCCTCTGGCGCCTCCTGGGCCTTCCCCCCGCCGCTCAAGTCAGCTCCAGGGAGCAGAAATAAGCAGCCAATGCGGGCCAACAGGGCCGATGACGCCCGAAGACTGGTCCAAGATGGCCCAAGAGTCCTCGAAGACGCTCCAAGAAGCCGCCAAGATGCCCCCACCGCCAGGAGGCCAAATTTGGCCCACTCCCGTGGCACAGTTTTATGTGTAGTATATTCGCTATTTCGGGTGCTACCCAGGACGGCCCAAGAGGCACCTAAAATCGCCCAAAGACGGCCCAAGATGCCCCACGAGGAGCCCAGGACGGCCCAAGAGAGCTCCACGACGGTCCAAAAGGCGCCCAGGACGGCCCAAGGTGGCCCCAAGAGAGGTCCATGAGGGGGAACTTCCGCTGACGTTCCGAGCCTCCGTCAGAAGGGGGCCCCCGAGGCCACCAGCAGGCCCCGAAGAGGCCCCCAGGGCGCCAAGCCAGACCTCCAAGGGCCCCCCGAAGCAAACGGCCCCCAAGAGGCCCCAGGAAACCTCAAAGCTCGCCCCACGAGGTGCCCGAGAAGAATGCCGACCGATGCAGCCATGTGCAGCACAGGGCGCTGCTCTCCTCATATACGGCGCTCTGCGCGGCACTGCGGAGATCAGGCTGCTGCGGAGCACGCGTGCACGGGCGCGCGTGAGGCACGATCCGTTCAAAGGGTGTGCCAAATAATTCGGATGCCCCCGTGCGAAAGGCGCGGTTGGCACATTAGACGCGTGCGGGAAGGAGCATCGTGGATTGTCATGGGGATATCTCGGTCGATGCAGGGCCGTCCTGGTGCCCTTCTAGCGCGGTCTTCTGGACCTCTTGGGGGCCATGTTCTGGCTCTGTGGCCATCTTTGGACCATGGGGGGCCTCTTCGGCCACCTTGAAGTTGTGGGACCCTCGTGGGCTGCAGGAAACCAGAAGTCGTGAGGAAACGGACATCGTTCAGACGTGTAACGCAAGCAGAGGTTTTGGTTTCTTCAGACTGTATTGACCCCCGTCCAGGCCATTTGTCTTGGCCGTCCTGGAGGCAAACGGGGTCGAACTTGGAGGCTCCTTGGGACCTTCGTGCCATCTTCGACGCCACCTGTGACCGGCCTCGGCCGTCGGAGCCAGCCCCTCTTGAGGACCAGCTCGGACCGCGCTGGCTGCCCTGGAGGACGCGGGTTGTGTTGGCGTTTGCCAAGCAGTGGCGAGGCGTCCTGGCTCGCCTGTAGCCCTGCCAAACAATGTTCTAAGAACCTTGTGTGGCTTCCACAGAATATTTTTAGAACATTTCTGGCGGAGCCTGTCCCGTTTTATCACATCGGGTTGTTCTTAGAACATGCTTGGGTTCTAAGAACATTTCGTGGTAGGACTATAGGAATGCCGGGACGGTCGGTCCCTGCTTAAGTTTGGTGCTGTATGCGGTGACGGCGGACGGGCCGAACGCCGCACAGAGCGTTTTGGAAGGGCCAACCGTGTTATAGAATTTGACAGGCCGCGCGCCCCTCTTGCAAGCAACAGGCGACGGCGGATCAAAAGCACCTGTGGCGAGTCACCGCTGCCCCCCTGACTTTTGGGAGACACCTGTGTGTGTCGTTGCGGAAAGGTTGGGCGAGCGTTTGGGTTGCGTGTTCCCCCGGCCGTGGCCAAAGCCATTTTGGGAATACCTTCTCGGGGTATGTTGGGGGCCTTTGGGGTTGCCTCGTGAGGACCTGTTGGGCGCCTTTGGGTACGTCTGTTGAACCTCTTGGCTTGTTTCGAGACCACCTTGGGGCGTTCAAAGCTGTCTTGAGCCGTCTTCAAGCCATCTTGGGATTCTGAAAAGGCAGAACACGCCCCCCTCTGGGAGCTGAGGGTGGCCCATGGATCGTTTGAGAAGGCAGGCCCTTCGCCACTTGACATAGAAAGACCACGAAGAACATTCGGGGAATATTCCCCGCAGATGTCCCAATATTTTCACAAGACGTTCCAGGATGGCCTGCTGGCGGCGCAACAAGCCCCCCAAGATGCCCAAAGGAAATTTCAAAAATCATGCAGTATGCATTATCTGTCCTCCCAGGCCGAACACTTTAGACTACAATCGGAGCTTGCTAGAAACTAAGCGCGCGAAGCGCGCGCGTCTTTCTGGTGAGAGTGTATTCCGGTACTGATAAGGAGTTTGGCCACGCGCGGGGTAGCAGCATGACATGGAAACACGGGATGAGGAACTCGCAAGAGGAGGGTGATTAGGCTAGGATGTCTAGGCTGGAGTCGGTCGCTTCCCGTGTAGTCAGGAGGAGGCGGGAACGGCATGGGATCGGAATGGGAAGGGGGATTGTGACAAAGTCCTGTGAAACAGCTCGACTGTCCTGGTTGTTGGGTCGCTGGGTCTGGGCCCCGATTGAAAGTATCCGAGAGTTCACGATGCTTCCAGGAAGCCAGGCCAGGAGGAGGAGGCGGAGCGGGAGGAGCGAGGAGGAGGAGGGAGGAGGAGGCGGAGGAGGAGGAGGAGCAGGAGGAGGAGAAACGAGGTGCACGGAGGAGGAGGAGGAGGAGCAGGAGGAGGAGGAGGAGGAGGAGGAGGAGGAGGAGCAAGAGGAGGAGGAGGAGGAGGCAGGAGGAGGAGGTGGAGGCAGGAGGAGGCAGGAGGAGGACCGCGGAGGATCGGGGAGGAGAGACCGGAGCGCCGCGGCGCAGGAGCTGGTGGCCCACCTGAACGCGATCGGCTTCCCCGGCGACGCCCTGCAGGTCGCGAAGTCCCTCGCGGACCAGGACGCCTCGGTAGTCTCCCGGAAACGGTGCGCTGACCACGCTCGAGGGGATCCGGTTCGATGCGCTTCGATTGGAAAGACCTGCTACATGCCCAGACCCCCTCGCGCCCTCGCGTTGTGAAGAGATCACCACGGGAGGGCTTCCGCTATTTTCGGACTCCGGGGGCCCGCGCCAGGCCTCGGGACCGTCAAAAAAATATTCTGGACGAACAACTGGTCCCGGGGAAGGGGTCCAGACCTCTGGGGGTCAAAGTTTTTGACAAAAATCACGACGTCGAGGGTATGGGTCGATACGATCCGCTTCGATGCGATTCGATTTGACAAACGTACCACAGACTCGCGACGCCCAAACGTCACGGCTGGATGTGTTTTTTGTCGTTCTCGATTTCTTGGGACCTTGGCCGGGCCTTGGGACCGAGTCGGGATTGAGCAAAGCGGCCCGGGAATTGGGAGGCAGCCCATTATCCGATTCGCTGCGGTTCGGTTCGCCGGCTGGGGCCGCGATTCCGATTCGATTCGATCTGGTTCGACGCACCGGTTTCGGCCAGGGCCACCCGGAGCTGTTCGCGGCGATCCGATTCCGGTTCGTTTGTGCGCGAGCCGTTTCCGATTCGATCCGGCTCAGCGGCTCGATCCAGCTCAGGTCTGCCACACCGTCGGGGGAGTTAGTCGGGAGTCGGAGTGACCGTACGGTTTTGGGAGGCTGGTCGTTCTGCGAGGATGTCTCGGGCGGCTGTGGGCTCCAGGGTCCCAACGCCGTGCGGTGGCTTGCCGTGCCGTGGGGTCTTTCGGGATTTCGAGGGCGGGGTCGTGCCTGCAGTCGGGTACGTCCAAGAGGGAGTCGGAAGCGTTCGTCATTGGCCTTTGGGATGTTGTCTTGCCTCGGGCTTCTCTCCAGCAGCTGCTCGTCGTCGTGGGCTTCCCCAACGGCCGCAGGGAGCGCGAGTTCCGTGTGTTGTCGAGAGGCGAGAGGATCTACGCAGGGGCGTGCGAACATCATGAACCCATCAGACAACTACCCAACAAGCATCAAGTTTCATGGGCTCCAGATTCCGAGTGAGAGAATCAGATGGCTGGGCTGGACCCAGGGCGTTTCCTTCGAGCTTTGTTTTGTTTGCGTATGGGGGTTCGTATATGTCTGAACCTGGACAACTGGCAAAGCAAGAACGCTTCTGATGAGGTTCCCTTTCTCTCAGCCTCGAACGCTTCAAAGTTCTTCGCAGGGGAGTCGCGGGGTCCAGGACGTCTCCCAGATGTTTCATGGCCCCTCGGGGACGCCGACCCGGGGGGGGGGGCCAGTGGCCCTGTGGTTAGGTCGGGCGTGTCCCCCTACAGGGGGATTTTCGACGGAAAATAAAAGATACCCCAAAAATGCCCCAACATTGCCCAAACAATACTCCAAAATTAGTCCCCAGACAATTTTTTTTCTATTTTTGGCTTTTTGTTTGCGGGGTATTCTTTATTTTTCGTCGAAAATCCCCCTGTAGGGGGACAGGCCCGACGTAACCCTGTGGGTGAGGGGAAGCATCGGCCCCCCAATCGCCCGCTCGTCTCCCAGAGTTTTCCTGGTCTCTCAGGGGCGCCGACCGAGGGGGGGCCTGTGGCCCCGGGGGCGAGGGGAAGTACTGCGGCCCTCCGATCGCCCGCTCGTCTCCCCCTGGGGGCTTCCCGGGTGCCCCCGGCTCCGCCCTGGGAGCCCGCGGCTCCGGCAGCGAGGGCCCCTCCCCAGTCTCACCGGAGATGCTGCCAGACGGAGGTACCTCCTCCTCTTCCTCGTCCTCGTCCTCGTCCTCGTCCTCATCCTCCTCCCTCTGATCCTCCTCTTCCTCCTCCTCCTTCTCCTCCTCCTCAGGAGCGCAGCGCTCGCTGTGGACAGAGGAACGCGAAGGGAGCTCCCGAACCGACACCCCGCCATGGCCCCCTTAAACAAGGACGCTGCTAACCAGGACCTTGAAACTTCCACGTAGAGGGAACGAAGAATGGAGAATGATTCAACCCAGGGCTGCAGTCTTCCCTGGCGCGCCAACGTCCTGGTTGACCAGTCCCTCCTCCCTCCTCCTCCCTCCTCCCTCCTCCCTCCTACCTCCTCCCTTCTCCCTCCTACCTCCTCCCTCCTCCCTCCCTCTTCCTCACACCTCCCTCCTCCCTCCTCCCTCTCCCCTTATTTAGGGGGGCCCTGGCCGGTGCCTGAGTTCCAGGAGCTGGGGCGGTCCGTGGGAGTTCCGGGTCTGGGGCCCGCCCCGGGGGGGTGGCCGTCGCGCGTGAGTCTCCAGCGCCCTCCTGTCCGAAGCTTTCCGCGGCACGACGCTCATTTGATGGTCGCGCGGGGGAGGAGAGCGGTGTTGCATGCCCGGGCGACAACTGGCCTTGCGGGGGGGGGGGGACGGGGGAGCCGGACCTTCCAGAGTGTGAAAGATGGCCCTCCAGACCTATAGACCTATCCGGATTGCCTATAAGACTTCGACTGGAATTGGGGCGTCGAGGTCCTGGTGCTATTTTTGTTTTAGCCCTCCGAGGGCGGGCCGGGGAGCCGGTCGCGTCACGTTTCGCGCTGGCGCCCGTCTGGGGATCCAGGCGTGTGACCGAAGACAGGTCGGAGGTGAGCACGAAGCGTGTCGTGACCCGGGGAGGGGGGGGAGGGGGGAGGGGGCCGGCAACGGCCGCTACCACGAAACATAAGCAAAACCGCTCTCGAGGAGTAAAATGGAGGGGAATGCAGAGAAAGTGAAGAGTAGAACGTAACACACATGAGCAACAATGGAAAGCACGGCATCGAACAAATAGCATGACCCTCTGCAGGAGGAAGATGGTAAAGTAATTGTGACAATAGTATGGGGACGGTTTCTCGTGCTCCTGTGATTATTTGTGTTGGGTATGTTTTGATCATGCTGCATTTTTCTTCGAACATCCGCCTGCAGGGGGACATGCCCAACCTAAAAGCAGATCGGCCCCGGGGCCGTCTCCAGGGCTCGTTTCGACTCCTCCGATCCGATTTGATTCGACTTCGATGGCTTCCGATGCCGATTCGATTCGACTCGGGGTTCCGATCCGGGGTCCGATGTCTGACTGGGGGCATACCTCGCCCTCCGACTTCCGCCGCTTCGACTTTTCCCGACTCGGCTGCCGATCTCCGCCGATCCGATTCATGGCGCTCACATCGCAGAGGATTCATCCATCCGTGGTTCCGATTCCGATGGATTCGATTCATCCGATCCGATCCGATCTCCGCCGATCCGATCCGATTCATGCCGATTTCGTCCGGAGACGATAGGATGGGCCCAGGGCGTCCTGGAATAATTCGTTGCGGATCTCGAGGTGACCTTCGTGCGGGCTTTGGTTGGCCAGGAATTGAGACCACAAACAACCCACGCGAAATCCGCTTCGTTTTTCGCTCGCCGTCTCGGGCAGAAATCCACGCAGCAATCCGCTGCAGCAAGGCCGGTGCCATAAGATCAATTTCGATTGCCGATCCGACTTCTCGACCCGACTCTGGGCCCTTGTGGGCCCCGGAAACGGCAGGGCTGTTTTATTTCACCGTTTCCACAAGAACGGCCCTTGAAAATGGAAACGGCAAAAAAACGGCGACCAGAAAGGGCAGCAAAAACGTCTCCAGGAGTGGAACTGGAGCCGGAAGCGGACGGAACCGGCAAAAAGACGGCAAAACGGAACCGGCAACAAAAACGGCAGAACGGAGCCGGTAAAAAAAACGGCCCTGTCGTTTCCAGGGCCCACGAAGCCCTTGGCCCCAGGGTGCCCCCCGGCTCGTCGATCAAGCCTGAGGCCCCTGGAGCCCCCTGGGCATCGTGATGGGGTGCTCTGGAGGCCGTGGGGGACTCCCTGGCAATCTCCTGGAGCGGGGCTGGGCTTAAGTCGGGCGTGTCCCTCTACAGGGGGATTTTCGACGAAAAAAATATTTCAAAAATGCAACAAAAAGGCAAACAAAAATTCAAAAAATAGTCCCCAGACTATGTTTGATTGTTTTTTTGCTATTTTTGAAGTGTTTTTATTTATCGTCGAAAATCCCCCTGTAGGGGGACAGGCCCGACTTAAGGCTGGGCCTCAACGTTGTGCTTCGTGTTGTGTTCCTTCTGCCGGTCGTGTTGCTCTGCCTTCCAGGCGCTTCCAGGGCCCACTATAAGCTCTGGGCTCTCCTGCGCCTCCCAGGCGCCACCCCGGGGCCCGACGCCCCAGGGTAATTAGGTGCGTCTCGGGCCCGGTGCAGGCGGGGCGGGACCAGCGAGGGCTCCGGCTCTCCCCCCCCGCAGGGAGCGGGGGCGCGGAGGGATCGGCGAGGCCGAGGAGCGGGGAGGGATCGGCGAGGAGGAGGAGGAGCGAGGCGCGAGGAGGAGCGAGGGGCGAGGAGGAAGAGCGAGGAGGAGCGAGGAAAAGCGAAGAGGAGGACGAGGAGGAGCGAGGAGACAGGACGGGGACGAGGAGCGAGGAGGAGGCGGAGGAGCGACGACGAGGAACAAGGAGGGAGGGCGATGATGATGATAATGATGATGATGATGATGATGATGATGATGATGATGATGATGATGATGATGATGATGATGATGATGATGATGATGATGATGATGATGATGATGATGATGATGATGATGATGATGATGATGATGATGATGATGATGATGATGATGATGATTGATGATGATGATTGATGATGATGATGATGATGCGGAGGAGGAGAGAGAGCGAGGAGCGAGAGAGGAGGAGGAGGAGGGAAGAGCGGGAGGAGGACGCGCGAGGAGCGAGGAGCGAGGAGCGAGGAGCGAGGAGCGAGGAGCGAGGAGCGAGGAGCGAGGATGAGGAGCGAGGAGGAGCGAGGAGGGCCCCCCCCTCGGCGGCTGGGAGGAGCGCGGGAGCTGCCACGGCGGCACGGAGGTCCGCATCAGCTCGCTGGTGTCGCTGCTGTGCGGCGAGGGCGGCAGAGGCGCTTCGTGTGTGGGGGGGGGCGCCTCATTCTCCTCCTCTTCATTCCTCCTCCTCCTCCTCCTGCTCCTCCTCCTCCTCCTCCTGCTCCTCCTCCTCCTCCCTCCTACCTCCCTCCTCATCCTCCCTCCTCCTCCTCCTCCCTCCTCCTCCTCCTCCCTCCTCCTCCTCCTCCTCCTCCTCCTCCTCCTCCTCCTCCTCCTCGTCCTCCTCGGAGGGGATGGAAGTTGAGGAAGTCCCTGAGATCCGAGGTCGCGAAGCAGATACAACATTGCGCAGGAACAGATATCCCCAGTCCCCATCTTTCTACCGCGCTTTTCACGCCGGAGGGATCTGCGATGGCCCCGGGGCCCGAAAGCGAGCGAAGACGCCCTGATCGTAGGGATTGGCGACGTTCCTGGGGGTTCTCTGGCGTTGTCGGCGCTCCCTGGAGGTCGTTTCGCCTCCGGGACGCTTTCCGGGGCAGCTGCGCCTCGTCGAGGGGGCGCTCCTGGGGACGCCTGCCTCGTCCCGGTCGGCCGCGGGAGGCCCGAGCGATGGCCCGACCACCGGAGGTGGACAGACCTCCTGCCCTGACGCGTCGATTGAGGAATTGGCCGTTATCGGTTCGCGAGAGGGCGTCGCGGCCGTCGTTTCTGCGGGTCCAGGTCCGTCGGTTTCGGTCCCAGGCCGTTTTCACCAAGGGGAGGTTGACGAAAGGGAGGTTTGTCCACCGCCGAGACAACCAGACATCCTCGCATCGTGAAGCAATGTTTTTTTTTCAGTTCGCCCGGCCTAAGAGGTTCTTGCTTTGGTGAAGACTTGGCGTCTCGGGACGCAACAGACTTGGCGTCTCGGGACGCAGCCTTGCCGGTTCCCTGGACCTTCTTCGGGTTCCTCGGGTTGCTGGGGTTCCTCTGGCTCCCCGCCCTCAGTGCCTTGGGGGGGTGGCCCGTTCCTCTGAGGTTCCTCGGGTTGCTGGGGCTCCTCGGGTTCCCCCCGCCCTCGGTGCCTCAGGGGGGTACTTTGCCCGTTCCTTGGAGGTTCCTCGGGTTCCCCGCCCCGGGTGCCTCCTACTGTTACTTTGCCCGTTTCCCGGAGGTTCGGGTTCCCCAGGTTCCCCGGGTTCCCCGGGTCCCCAAGCACATGCAATAGGAAGTTTTGCCCTCACTGGGGCCACGACGGGTTCATGATTATTTTGGGCCACTGGAAGGGAGGCTATCGCCGCTGCCGCTGCCGCCTCCCCTGACCTCCTGATCTCCTGATGCGTCGGCGATGCGGCTCGATGTGGAGTTCGAGTTTCTCCACACCGACTGCGCCAACGCATCGCCGACGTCGCCGATGCATCGGTGATACGGCTCGCTCCTCCCTCCGACCCCATCCGGGCCTCCATCTAAGAAGCCCGAGGTTCGAGGATTCAAGCTGTACTTTTCTCACCCTTCTCTGCGTCTTCAGGAGGCGCCTAGTCGCTACGGCTAGATTTGGCTCGACATTTTGGCCAGGACGCTCCGCGGAGCAGGTCCATGGCTCCATTTGTGCACCACCACCACCACCAGGGAGGCCACCTCTAGCGAGGAGGTCTACGATGCTTCCCCGAGCTGGGGAGAGGGGATGCCTCGAGCCAGAGGGGGGTGGGGGGTGGCACACCACCCAGGAGGACCTTCTCTCCTGGCGCTCTGGCCCGGTGGTTTTGTCACCCCCCCTTGCTTCTGCCTGGGAGGGGTGGGCTGGGGCTCTCCCCGCTGCCGCCTCGCCCTCACCTCCTGGCGTCGTGGAGAAATCCCGACGGAAGGTTTCTGGCAGTGCAGTTTTTCATGGGGGAGAAGACACCGATTCCGCTTTCCCCAATCTCGTCACCACGGCCAGATTTGCGCCGAAATCCTGGTCGGAACGCACCCCAGGAGAGGTCCGAAGCAGAGTATGTAGCATTAAGGTGGGCATGTCCCTCTGCAGGAGGAATTTCGGAGAATGGTGACACATTATCTGGGGATGATTTGTCGTGCTCTTTTGACTATTTTCGTTTTTGTTTGATTATGTTTCATCTTTCTTCCAAAACCCACCTATAGGAGGACATGCCCGACCTGAGTGTAGCAGTATCGGCGGGGTTTTTGGTGCCATCAGAATTTTAGTCCTCCAGGGGCCCGTTTGCAGGGCCCCGGTCCCGGGGACCGTGAGCAAGACGAATCAGGATGGGAGGTCAGTCCCAGTGAAGGAGGGGTACGGATCTTTGGAGAGCCACGCTGTCAGAACATCAAGACTTCGGACGTATGGGTTCCCAGGCCCCCTCGCGTGTGACAAAAATCACAGCCAGGTTCTTCGCTAGTTTCTGCCTCTGGGGGCCCTCGCTGGGCCCCCCGGACCGTCACACAACGATTCAGGATTAAAAACCGGTCCTGGGGAAGGGGTCCAGACCTCTGAGGGTCGACGATGTGAAACAATCACGACGTCGGGGGGCCCTGGGTTTTCTCCTCCTGAAACCTCGTCGGTCAGTTGTGCGGGAGTGTGGGCGGGGATCGGCAGGGCGCGGATCCACGGATCCTGTTGCCTCTCAGGTTGCATCGGCCTTCCAGCGCGAATTTTCGGGCAGAGTGTTGAAGGGACCCCGACGTTGGCGCGAGTTTGTGTCTCAGCGGTAAGTTTTTGTCGAGTGAAAAGGGCACCACGAACAAATCTAGGCGGTGGTTATGTTTCAAAAGTCCACGGCGCCGAAGAAGCCCGCCCTTGCCTGATCATCGTCTTGGACTGGTCGAGGTTCACCGCTGGGGGATTAGTTTCGCTCGTCCTAGAGGTGGGATGGGGGCGGTGGTGCAAAGGGATCTGCCGATGATGCAGGCTGAGTGTGTCATCATTTTAGCAGTGGCGGGCTTCGTCTGGTGTGCATCGCGCTGGCTCCCGCAACACAGCGTCTGGCGCCCCGTGCCCGCCTCGTAGGCGCTCCCGTGCCCGCCTCGTGGGCGCCCCGTGGGCGCTCGGGGTGCGTCCGCCGAGGGTTCACCTCGTTGGCGCCCCGGCCCGTTGGTGCCCGGTGGGCGCTCGTGGGCGTCCCACGCCCCTGGGTGCGTCCGCCGAGGGTTCCCCTCGTGGGTGCCCCCGTGCCCGCCCGTGCGCACCGTGTGGGCGCTCGGGGTGCGTCCGCCGAGGCTTCGTCCCGTTGGCGCCCCGTGCGCGCCCATGGACGCCGCGGGGGCGCTCGTGGGCGCCCCGTGGCCTGGGTGCGCCCGCCGAGGGTTCGGCTGGTGCCCGCCTCTGCCGCCTGACCGCGGCTCCGCGCGCGCCCGCCCCCCTAGTCGCGGCCGCAGCCCGACCGTGACCGCCTGCCGCTGGCGCTTCCGCCTGCGGCTGTAAAAAAAAAAACTGGTGCCCGCCCGTGGGCGCCTCGTGGGCGCCCCGTGGTTTCATTCGTTGGCGTAGCCTTCGCAGCATCGCTCGCACCGCAGAGGTTGCACGGCAGAGGTTGCACGGCCTGGCTCGCACCGCATAGGTCACACCGCACAGCCTACACGGCCTAGACAATAGAGCTCACACAGCATATAGCTTGCATAGCACAGCTACTGCCACATAGCCAACACCGCATAGCGATCACTCACAACTAACACCATACACTTTTCTCCGCACAGCGTACGCAACGTCGTTCACATTGTATACGTGGCTTCTTCCGCAGACGTTCCACTTCTACAGTGCAATCACGAGTTGGTTGGTGCCCATGCTGGCTAACATTTGTTCGTCTGGAAACAGTATGGTTTTTAATGCTCGGGCATCTCTATGTTTGTGATGCACGAGCAACTCGGTTTGGAACATCCATATATTCATTTCTTCAGATGCCAGGAATTCCGAGTCATGCTCTTGGCGATCGGAGTGTGTGCAATTCCTCATCGCCGTCCCAGTTGAACGACAGTTGTGTCAGGACGTTGTGACCGCGCATTGCGACTTCCAAGACGTCTTCACGAAGCTGGTTTGTTTGAAGCCAAAGTGCTTTGTTATTTTCGGCAATTAAGGGCATCATCCACAAATTCAGTACTAGCGCGACGCCCACTAATACCACCACCCCTTGGCCACCACTCCAAGCAACTCGTGCGCCCGCTCGCAGTTTCCGATTCCAACTGCCGTTGTCTCGGGGCTTCCCCGGCGATGTGGGCTGGTGAACTTGGAAGGAGGGAGGAGGCGTGAGGAAAGAGGCAGAAAGAGGAATGGCACTGGGGAGGGGAGAAGCAGGACGCGCCAGGAAGAGGTTGATCAGGAGGAGCGGCGCTGGTGTCGCTACCACCGTCCCTGCCAACAGCGGCACCCCGACTCAGACACCACCAGCACCGCCCCAGCCGCGCGGGCGCCGCCCGCACTGCGCCGGGCGGCGGCGGAGGAGGCGACGGCGGAGGCGGCGTCGACGTCTACGGCGGCGGCGGCGGCGGCCGCGACGGAGGCGACGCCTCGGGGCGACGGCGGCGGCGACGGCGACGCCGACGACGTCGGCTCCGACGGCGACGGCGGCGGCGGCCGACGCCGTCGGCTGCGGCGGCCGCGACGACGGCGACGTCGGCGGCGGCGGCGACGGGAGCGCCCCGATCGCGAGGCGGCCAGCAGCGGCCGGCCGCCCGCGGCGCTGGGCGCCGGCACGCCGCGCCGCCGCAGGCGGAGGGCGAAGTGGCCGCCTGGGACCCGCGGGCGGCGGGGGGCGGCGGGAGGTCTGCCGGGCGGCCGGCTGCCGGGCGGCAGACGTGCAGTCAGCCCGCATACCCAGACCCCCTCGCGTCGTGAAAAAATCACGACGGGAGGTTTTTCATTATTTTTGGCCTCTGGGGGCCCTTACCGGCCCTCGGGACCGTCAAAAAACGACTCAGGACGAAAAGCCGGTCCTGGGGAATGGGTCTGGACCTCTGGGGACCGCGTCATGAAAAAATCATGACGTCGGGGGTCTGGGTAGGAAGGATGATCGGCGTCCCGAAGACGGGACGGGGTGGGCACGAGCGGGCATCACAGCCGGCTCAGAATCAGAAGAGGCACCACAGCCTCGTCGATCTAGATTGATCCACTCGCGGATCCACTGCAATTGATGTCCATTGACTTCCTTCCGTGCGTAGCATGCTCTCCCCTCGCGAGGGGGAAGAAGTCACGACGGGGGGGTTTGCGCTGTTCTCGGCCTGCTGGGGCCTTACCCGGGCCTCGGGACCGTCGAAGAACGGCTCAGGATGACAAACTGGTCCCGGGGAGGGGGTTCAGACCTCTGGGGATCGACGCTGCGAAAAGAGCACGACATCGGGGGTTTGGGGAGGGTACCCTTGCATCCATGTCTCTTCGGTCATCCTCGGTCCATCCTCAACCGTTCTCGCTGGCCCGCCCCGCTCGACGAGCCTCGGCACGGGTGCCCAGGGCCCCTGCATCCTTACCGCGCATCCTTCCTGCAGGGGTCGGTTGTGCTCGTCGTTCTCGCCTCGGCCGTTTTCTCGGACGACTTCGTCGGTTCTTGAGGGTGGTGTCTCCTCGGCATGCCTTGCAGCAGCAACGCCTCGTTGAGAGCGTTCCGGGGGTGCCCGGGTCGTGCATAACTCAGGAGGGGAAAAAACACACAGACACAATTAATCCTCGATTCCCCAGAAAATATGGGAAACTATGGGAAGTGGGGGGGAAGACAGAAACCCAGAAAATATGGGAAAATATGGGGATTATTTTTATTTGTGTGTATTTATTTGTGTGTCCTTGTGCCCCTTGAATAGCAGTCTCTGGAGGGCGGAGGTATGGCCCGAAAGGTTGACGTGCTTCGGAGAAGCACCGGCTGCAGAAACATAAGTAAGCCTGTGGAGCTCCGCACGGATTTCTTGGATCGGCACTAGGCCTCTCCTGGGGAGGCGCCAGAGTTCAGGAGGGGAAGAAACACACAGACACAATTAATCGTCGATTCCCAGGAAAATATGCGAAAATATGGGAAGTGGTGGGGCAGACAAAAACCCAGAAAATATGGAAAAATATTGGGAATATGTTTATTTGTGTGTATTTATTTGTGTGTCCCAGGGCCCCTTTAAGAGTGCGCTCCTCGCGACAGGGGGGGTGGGAGGGGGGGGGCAGCGCCGATCCGATCAAATCCGCACGGAGCTCCGAAAGTTTATGTTTGCGCAATGATGTTCTTCCTTCGCTGCCTGCGTCGCACAAGGTGAAGAAAAAGCGAGGAAAGGTTCTTGGCCGTTTTCGGCCTCCAGGGGCCCTCTCTGGGCCCCGTGGCCATCAACAGAACGACGCGGGACGAAAAACCGTCTCTGGGGAAAGTGTCGGGATTTCTGGGGGGCACATGTCGAATCAAAAAACGAGACGTTGCATATCTGGGACGGCGGCGGCGGCC